GACAGTGTACGGGAGTCTGTGTGCGGGAGCAGCTGACAGATGCCGAAAGGTCGGATCAGTGGTGAGATGGAGACAGATCAAAGAGGACAAGAGCGACGCGTTTCGAGGTACTACCTCTTTTTCAAGCTCGGGTAAAACAGTAAGACGGTGGCGGGAATCCGCCGGGTTTAAAAAGTGACAGGTGGGCGGAGCTAGTGGTAGTGAGTGGCAGTCCCGCGGTTTGAAATTGAGAACGGAGCTGCTGGAACCAGGCATATATTTAGAAGCTTGATATGCATAAAGGCCATAGAGGACTGATATGTAGGGGAAGGGGACAATGGGAAGGAGTTATTGTCATCGTTATTGTTGCTATTGTTAAAAAAGAAGGGGGAAGCCATTGAGCAATAAAAGTAATAGAGGTCGTATTGGGGTAAAAAGCTACTATGTTACTAAGTGGAAAATGATATTATGGTAAAAACAGGACCTTGGTTGGAAGGCTACTACGTGGGAAATGTCTATATTAAAATTATCTTTATTGGGAGCACTAAAAATATGTAATAAAGGAGAGAATATAAAAAGGAAATAAAAAGAATATAAAAAATTATAAAAATGTACATATATATAAAAAAATAATAGAATGGAAAAACCATTCGATAAGAAAGGAAGCAACCTGATTGGACAAACAATATTGGAATGAGATAGCCATGGGGGTAAGAGCCCTTACAGCAACAAATGAATACAAAGGTGGAAAAAAAATTGATGGGTACTAACTCTGAATCCTCATGAAGGTTAGAGTTGGGTGATCAAAAACACCAGCAAAAATGGGTAAGCAGGGGAGAGGGTATATCATAACTGAGACTGGTTTGTAAAAACACCAGGACTAGAAGGAGAAGTGGGTGTCCTTTCAACCAATACCCAGAGGTGTTCCCAAGTTGTGAAAGGCATAATACAACCTGCCTAACCACTTACCAACTATATGATTCAAAAATCATTTAACCTGTCCCTGTTGGAAGACACAGAAGAGTGAGGTCTTTGCAAGGGAAAGGAGCCATACAGATTAATCCCTGTTGATGTTGAAGGTCAGTAAGTCCCTAAGAAGAAGAATAGGAAAAGGGAGAGTCAAGCGCTACAAGGGAAGTGACCACTGATAAAAGGACTGCTCTGTGGGGAGGAGAGCAAGATGAATGGTGTACCATCCTTACGGATAGGTTCCTACTAGAGTAGACATCGAGGTCCCAGGGCGTGGAGAACCCAAACAAACCAGGAAAGGTGAACAATAGGGTGCAGTAATACCAAATAGGGTAAAGGCAACTAAAGGAGATGCTTGACTGACGGCTCTAGACTGGATGCTACAGGGGGAAGACTGAGCATTCAAGCTATTGGGGGGGAGGGAGGACACTACCAAGGATCCAGAAGAATGAACAAACAGCATCCCACTTAAAGAATTGCAGAAGGCTGAGCAGAGCAGTTAGGGGGACCTATGGATTATAGACCTGTGGCCTGAGTGGGAGGTAGGCGCTGTCCACCTTAAGAGGTACAAATACAGTAGTAGATGAAGGTTGGGGGTTCCTCCTCCCCATCAATAGATCTCCTAAGTTGAAGCAGGAGCACACTTTGACCACCAGTAGCATCACTGATGACTGTTTCAAGGGCAGGTCCAAAGACATTGACACTGATTGGGAGCTGTGAACAAAAGCTTACTTTTTTGTTTACATCAGACCTTCTGTATCTAAGACACAGCAAGGACACTCCAGTTGTGTGTTGGTCAATTCCTCTCTAGCATCATAAAAAACTGGGCTAGACTGGTGGACTGCGGCAACACTTGGATGAAAAACTGAAACGATAATCAGACAATGTTCTCTGTGTGCATCCTAAGGTTTAACGTGAACTTACAATTTGCCAATATAGTAGCCATATCAAGAGGTTTGTGTCATAGGAGGCTCTCCATAGAAAGGTTTAAGGGCTCGTTCACAGCAGTGCATTTCTTTTCTCTCTCTGTGTGACATCAGTTACCTGGACAGGAAAACGCCAGACGCCTGAAAAGATACAGGAGCTTCTTTGGGCAGTTAAAAACGCTTTTCCTCCCCATAGACTTCATTGAAAATGCCCAAAAACACGCCACAGAAACATGTTGCTGCCAATGAGCTGCCAATCAAAATGTGCGTCTTCATGTACGCGCATTAAGTAATAAGTACTATACTTGTCGCACTCCTTACCGATATGTCCCTATTCATGTACGCGCATACACATGTGCGCAACGCATAAATAACCGCATGCGGCTACTGCGCGTACAAATGTGCAAAAACGGTGCCGCCTAGGTGTGAACCAGGGCTTAGAATTCACACATTGCTAAATATCACAAAATAAACATATAACACAGGCAGATAACCTGTGTAATAGCAGTGATATCCAGCAGTCTTGTCTAATGTTTTCCCAGTTTCTGACTCTCCTCCAAAACATGTCCCCAGTCTACAACAATTCCTATATCATGTCCACAGTCTCTGGCCATCTCCGGTAGCATGTTCACTGCTTTTGATCATCTCTTGTTGCACATCTGCAGTCTCTGACCATCTCCTGTAACATGTCCACAGTCTCTGGCCATCTCCGGTAGCATGTTCACAGTTTTTGACCCTCTCCTGTTGCACATTTGCAGTCTCTGACCATCTCCTGTTGCTAGGCTTCTAATGCAATGATATAATGGAATAACTTCCCGTGCCACATGGAGTAATAAGCAGTGCCGGGACAAGGTCATCCAGTACTCAGGGCAGAGATATCAAACTGTGCCCCCCCCACCCCCCATTTATTATGCATGAGTCAGTGCATGTCTGATTGCCCTCTGCTGCTGGGATCCCACTTCTAACTGCTACTGCGCTTGTTTCAGTGTCACTGTGCAGCTCAGGGTCGGATTAACATAGGGGCGGGTGGAGCTCCCACTCCAGGCCATCCCCTGCAAATAGGCGAATCACGGCCGGCCCGATGGTAATCCAGGCCGGCCGCGACCAGGCAGCCATGGCCCTCCATTCAGGCATATCAGGGGGCCCTTTGATATACCTGAGTAGAGAGCCGCATCTGCTGCAGTCACCAGTCTCTCTGAGCCCCCTGGTACCTGCACTGACCCCCCCTGGAGCCCGCACTGACCCCCTGGAGCCCACACTGACCCCCTGGAGCCCACACTGACCACCTGGAGCCTGCACTGACCACCTGGAGACCTCACTAACTGCCTGTAGCCCGCACTGAACGCCTGAGAGCCGCACTGAGCGCCTGAGAGCATGCACTCACCACCTGGAGCCCGCACCGACCACCTGAGTGCCCGCACTGGCCCTCATAGAGCCACACTGGCCATCTAAGAACCAGAACAGCCTCCTGAGAGCCTGCACACTCCACCCTCCGCCCCCCCTAAACCCCGCACTGCTCTTCTGAGACCCTGGAGGCATCAGGCCCGGAGAAAGACAGAGTATGTAGCTTCATATTATTCTGCATTGCTATATAAAGTATTGCTGGGATTTGTAGTCCTTAATAGCTGATAGTATTATTTTGCAGTGCTTTACAATGTATTGCTGGGATTTGTAGTCCTCTATAGTTAGTGGTATTCTGCACTGCTGTATAATGTATTGCTGGGATTTGTAGTCCTCTATAGCTGGTGATATTCTGCATTGTTGTATAAAGTATTGCTGGGATTTGTAGTCCTCTATAGTTAGTAGTATTCTGCACTGCTGTATAATGTATTGCTGGGATTTGTAGTCCTCTATAGCTAGTGATATTCTGCATCCTGTATAATGAATTGCAAAGATTTCTAGTCTCTCTACAGCTTGGAGTCAGTGGCAGATCTACCAGGGTCACAGCTGCAACTGGGCCTTAGCGCACCACCACTGACTCGAAGCTGTAGACTACAAATCACAGCCCGGACAGCAAGAAGAGGGCCCCTGGTGACCGTCGCCATTTCCATAAAAAGGCCCACCAAAATCCTCAGTACCAGGCCCGTGATGCTTTGAAACCGGCCATGGTCCACAACTTGGGTTTTACGTGGACGGGGAAGTGTGCAGTGGCATGGTGGGACCCTCCTGCTGCGTGTTCTCGGTCTCTGCAAATAATCTTACACTGATTGTTAATAGCGCCTGACTGGCAAGAGGATAAAGGAAAGGCCGAACATGCATGTTATGAGGGGCGTGCAGCTTGCCATGTGACACCCTGCACATGAATACACTGCCCCTAAGGCAGCCGCCCCTTCATTGCACATGTCAGCCAGAGCCCAGGAAATGCCCTGAACATCATCTCATAATCAGTTAGACAAGTGCAGCCATTCCACCTGTCATGGAGGGAGTGAGACGTCCCCCTGGTATGCAGAGTGGCATGGAGCAATACTGATAGCATTTGTGCCCTGAATGCCCAACTTGATGGACCCTCCATCATCCTATCTACTGGTGGCTTCACCTGTCACTTGACAGACTCTGGAGCAGTTTCCCATGGCAACCCATCAATGTCTTTAATTTTTAAAGCTTTATTGAACAAGCTGAAAAGAGAAGCTGATTGGTTGCCATGGATGACTGCTCCAGGTTCCGTCTGTTACAGTTTTTAAGAATTCCCCCAATGTCTGGAGCAGACAGAATCTGGAGCAGTTGCCCATAGCAACTAATCAGCTTATCTCTTTAGCTTGTTCAGTTAAGCTTTGAAAATGAAAGGCAGAAGCTGATTTGCTGTCATGGTGGTGAGTACTGCTGGGAACACATGCTTAGTAGGAGGCTGTTCTTTGACTTGACACCCCGGCCGGTCCTCTTATACGAGGACTTCTATCCGCACCGCACACACAGCCGCATTCTCTACACTCCTCCACGTGGCGCTTCCAATGTTCTCTGTCTTGTGCCGGTGGGCGGGACTGCCCTCGTGACGTCACGTCTCATTCATTCATTGCGCAGGCTGACTCGGCTTTTGGGAGAATCAGCCGGCCATTGGCTGGGAAAGCTTTGGGCGTGTTCTATATACAATTATCTTTTGACAGCCGCGGGTGGAAGTCTCCGCCCTAGGTCGCGTTCAGCCAATCGGATGAGACATTCAGAAGGTGTGTGTGTGTGAATAGTGGGGCCGTGCACTTCCCGGCCTGTTCTCAGTGTGTCCACCTTCAAGAGAAAGCAGACGGCGCCGGATCAGCAGCAGCATGGCATACAGCATCGAGCAGAGGGCCAATGCCAACAGCCTGGAGTATCGGCTGTTCTTCAGTAAGTGGGCACGTGTGCGGGTAGACGGTGTGTGAAAGGCCAGCGTGGGTACTGCAATGAATAGGCATAATCGGGGCTGTCAGTGGCCTAATGTAAACACACAGGGAGTGCTGCTAAATGGCTTAGAATGAAGAAAGGGAGCTCGAATATCATGTGGTAAGGTGGAGTGTTGCAGTCGAATATTTTGTTAGGATCTGGAGCAGTTGCCCATGGAAACCGATCAAGCTTCTAAATTCAGGTAAGCATTGAAAATGAAAGAAGCTGATTGGTTTCCATGGGCAGCTGCTGCAGATTTTGTCTGCTCTTTTCTCTATAAGTGTCTCTGGTGTGTATAATTCTGTGTCCTGTACCCTCTTCAAGCAATTCGAGGTGGGGGGTCTGTCATAGCTGACCTGCTTCTGAATGCTGAATGCTGCTTGCCTGGCTCTTATGCTGGCTTCATGGCTTCAGTCCTTTGAGTCACTGGAGTCGATTTAGTAATGGCGAATAGGCTGTTCACCTTGCAGGGGAATTTTCCCTTAGCTTAGTGAATGTAGTGAAAGTATACTTTGCACAGAATAACCCATCATGAACAAGGGAAAAAAATAGTTTTTTCTTGTACATTATTGGATGGTGGAAGTCAGCAGAATTGCACTCCATTCACTAAGCTAAGAGAAAATACCCCTGCAACATGAACAGCATAATTGCCTTTAGTAAATGAACCTTGGATAAGGAAAGTTAGAAGAAAGCCAGAACAAGTATGCAGATCAGGAACATCAGAAGAAAGTCAGAACAAGTATGCAGATAAGGAACGTCAGAAGAAAGTCCGAACAAGCATGCAGATCAGGAACGTCAGAAGAAAGCCAGAACAAGTATACAGATCAGGAAAGTCAGAAGAAAGCCAGAACAAGTATGCAGATCAGGAACGTTGGAAGAAAGTCGGAGCAGGTATGCAGATAAGGAACGTCAGAAGAAAGTCCGAACAAGTATGCAGATAAGGAACATCAGAAGAAAGTCCGAACAAGTATGCAGATCAGGAAAGTCAGAGCAGGTATGCAGATCAGGAACGTCAGAAGAAAGTCAGAACATGCATGCAGATCAGGAAAGTCAGAGCAGGTATGCAGATCAGGAACATTGGAAGAAAGTCAGAACAAGTATGCAGATCAGGAAAGTCAGAAGAAAGCCAGAACAAGTCTGAAGATCAGGAACGTCAGAAGAAAGTCAGAACATGCATGCAGATCAGGAAAGTCAGAGCAGGTATGCAGATCAGGAACGTCAGAAGAAAGTCAGAACATGCATGCAGATCAGGAAAGTCAGAGCAGGTATGCAGATCAGGAACGTCAGAAGAAAGTCAGAACATGCATGCAGATCAGGAAAGTCAGAGCAGGTATGCAGATCAGGAACGTCAGAAGAAAGTCAGAACATGCATGCAGATCAGGAAAGTCAGAGCAGGTATGCAGATCAGGAACGTCAGAAGAAAGTCAGAACATGCATGCAGATCAGGAAAGTCAGAGCAGGTATGCAGATCAGGAACGTCAGAAGAAAGTCAGAACATGCATGCAGATCAGGAAAGTCAGAGCAGGTATGCAGATCAGGAACGTCAGAAGAAAGTCAGAACATGCATGCAGATCAGGAAAGTCAGAGCAGGTATGCAGATCAGGAACGTCAGAAGAAAGTCAGAACATGCATGCAGATCAGGAAAGTCAGAGCAGGTATGCAGATCAGGAACGTCAGAAGAAAGTCAGAACATGCATGCAGATCAGGAAAGTCAGAGCAGGTATGCAGATCAGGAACGTCAGAAGAAAGTCAGAACATGCATGCAGATCAGGAAAGTCAGAGCAGGTATGCAGATCAGGAACGTCAGAAGAAAGTCAGAACATGCATGCAGATCAGGAAAGTCAGAGCAGGTATGCAGATCAGGAACGTCAGAAGAAAGTCAGAACATGCATGCAGATCAGGAAAGTCAGAGCAGGTATGCAGATCAGGAACGTCAGAAGAAAGTCAGAACATGCATGCAGATCAGGAAAGTCAGAGCAGGTATGCAGATCAGGAACGTCAGAAGAAAGTCAGAACATGCATGCAGATCAGGAAAGTCAGAGCAGGTATGCAGATCAGGAACGTCAGAAGAAAGTCAGAACATGCATGCAGATCAGGAAAGTCAGAGCAGGTATGCAGATCAGGAACGTCAGAAGAAAGTCAGAACATGCATGCAGATCAGGAAAGTCAGAGCAGGTATGCAGATCAGGAACGTCAGAAGAAAGTCAGAACATGCATGCAGATCAGGAAAGTCAGAGCAGGTATGCAGATCAGGAACGTCAGAAGAAAGTCAGAACATGCATGCAGATCAGGAAAGTCAGAGCAGGTATGCAGATCAGGAACGTCAGAAGAAAGTCAGAACATGCATGCAGATCAGGAAAGTCAGAGCAGGTATGCAGATCAGGAACGTCAGAAGAAAGCCAGAGCAAGTATACAGATCAGGAACGTCAGAAGAAAGCCAGAACAAGTATGCAGATCAGGAACGTCGGAAGAAATTCAGAGCAGGTATGCAGATAAGGAAAGTCAGAAGAAAATCGGAACAAGTATGCAGATCAGGAACGTTGGAAGAAAGTCAGAACAAATATGCAGATCAGGAGCGTTGGAAGAAAGTCAGAAGTCTGTATCTTTATACTTAAATCTCCCCCCCCCCCCTCACCACAAGTGGGAAATGTTCATCTATGCCTATGGTTCCCATAACCAGCACTTTGACTAACCAGATCTCTCTCTCACTCCCGCAGGGTCTTGCCACACTGAAAGACAGCCTCCAGCAGCCTCTTCTCCCCTATGAGCCAGTTGTTGCAGGCACTCTGACATCATCAAGTACAATGCAAGGCCAATAACCCTACATTGTACCTGAGGACACTGAAGGATCACACACATGCCAGATTGTGAGGGAGAAGAGGCTGTGGGAGCCGGCCTTGCAGCGTGAAGCGAGCCTGGGATGGGACTTGTAGTTTACAGAAGAGAGAGAACATTGTTTGTGCTGTGTTTTCAGCTCACAGGTAGTGTCAAGGACCGAGTTTCTGGCAAGAACAACAGGTATTTTCTGTACTTGCTGAAAAATTTCTTAGCCTGAAAAACTAATGCAACCACCTTATCTAAGGATTGGTAAGTTTTAGTATATTGACTTTTTGGGTTCAGATTCACTTTAAAGTGGCACTAAACTCAGAAGTTAAACCTTAAAAATGCATTCAAGTACCTGAACTATTAATCAAAATGTATCTTATTTATGTATCACTCGGCTGTAGATCCTCCAATCATCTCTGAATTGGTGCTGGCACTGTTCTTCCTTCTGGAGGGTGGCTTCTTGTGTTCCCCATGGTCCCTGTGTGTGTTGTAAAGTAGTCACCGCTCCAAGCTTGTTCCCGCGATGGACAACAATCTCCAAATTAGTAAATTAAAAGTGAGATTGTAGTCCATCATGGGAGCGAGCTTGGAACAATGGCTACTTTACAACACACACAGGGACCATAGGGAACAAATGTAGCCACCCTCCAGAAGGAAGGGCAGTGTCGGCACCAATTCAGAGATGCTTTGAGGATCTACAGCCGAGTGATACACAAATAAGATATGTTTTTTGTTAAGAATTAAGGATGCATTTTTAAGATTTAACTCCTCAGTTTAGCGTCACTTTAAATTTAACCTGACCTCCAGTCGGATATAAAAGGCATATTAATGCAGCTCTGTATTCACAAATACATCATTGAATATTTTTAAATGCAAACCGTGTAAGTACCTGACTTTTCCCCGCTATCAGTTCCTATACAGCAGTGCTCAAACTGGGGAAAGGTGAAGCAACAAATTCTACCAGTCAGTTTTACTGTACTGCTCATGTGCTAACAAGGAACATTCTGATAAAAGGAGAGATCAGAGTGTCAAAGAAATTAGATTATCAGTCGGTAGCGTCTTCTGGGGGTAGTGGAGGGACAAGACCTGTGACTTAACTATAGCAAACAAACATCAGGTCTCCTGCCCTGCCAGACAAGTCTGAGCTGTGTGACTGAGCAGTGTAAGGGCTCGTTCACCCCATGTCTGTTGAGCTGCGTTTTTCTGCACAACACTGTACATGTATGGTAATGGTGGGAACGAGCCGCACTTACAGATCCTTTGGCAAGTAAAACCGTTCCACATATATATTTCATCTTTGTGTCATGTCAAGCTATTGTCATGACAACAAGACAACTAGCATTTCCAAAAGAAGAGTCTTAACAATGACAGCAGTGAAAGGTTTGCTATAAGGTGATATTGAACGCAAAAGGTTTTTAAAGGAGAACTATGAGGTGAGTGCTTTTCACTCACCTCATAGTTCTAGCCGACCTGTGACAATGAGACTGTCACAAGTCGGCTCAGTAGATCGGGAGGTGAGCGAACATATACCGGCGTTCGCTCTAGAGCTGCAGCTAACGATTATTTTCAAAATCGATTAGTTGGCCGATTATTAAGTTCGATTAATCGGTTAATCGGATAAAAAATTAAAAAATAAAATACATTTTAAAAAATGGCTTCAGTGATGGGACTACTAGTTTGTATTGAGATTGCAGTCCATCACAGGAGCAAGCTTGGAGCGGTGGAAAACTTAACCCCATAGTTCTCCTTTTAAGTTATTTCAAATTTTGATGGAATTACTTGCTCCTGGACAGTTCAGTTTAACCTTCTTGTAGAATCAGCTGGTCCTCTGAGCACTGGCCTTAATATCCTATTTTAGGGTGGCTCCTTTCCCTAGCTGGGTCACGTGGAGCCACCCTTTGTGTGCTAGTAAGCTGTGTGTTTCTCCACAATCACACGGGTTAGAGATGCACAAATACCAGTGCCGCCGATGCTTGACATTTTCACTAGAACTATGTATATATATATATACCGTGTTTCCCCGAAAATAAGACAGTGTCTTATTTATTTTAATACTGTCCCTTGTGATCTTGTACTGGGCAGGAATTTCAGGGAAGCCGATCTGAGAGAGTTGGAGCCAGCTATTTGGAAACATGATG